TCAAAACTTCAACATATTGAGCTGCTGGAAATGTAAGTTATGGTGGTTGCTCGTTTTCCTCAGGACTTTTTACTTTATTTATTCACATTCACTCACTCGACACGTCACTATTGTTTCTACACGTGTTTAAATGAAGTGACAAGCTTCAAAATCTCTCGATAATAGAGCACTCTTTTATTGACTCACTCCACTATCAAAAGCTGGTAGAGTTGTTAAATAGATGTTTAGTTGAATTCCACTATCATTAAATTAAAAATTATAAAGTGATTTTTAATTTTATGATGTTATTTTGTTGATTTTTTTAGTTATTAAAAATTATAAAATAATCACATGATTATTCATATATTTTAAATTTCGTTATTTTTTATTATAAATTTAATGATAATCTGAGCTGAACGTTAACATGTTAATTGAGATATGATAAAATATAATTCTAAAATCTTAAACATTTATTATATCTCAATTAGTATGTTAACATCTGTTTAGTCAACTATCAATTTTCAATAAAAATGATACTTTTAGAATATATAAATAATCGGACGGATGATTATTTTATAATTTTTAATAACAAATTAATTTAATAAAATAAAACAGTTTCAGATGCTTGCATGCAACGAAAGAAGAAGCCATGTAAGCTTTGAAAACTTAATACCTCTGAACAGATTGAGCTGATGAAAATGTTTGTTATGGTGGAAGACTGAGGATTATGGTGGTTGCTGGTTTTCTTCAAGCCCCTATAGGGTTTTTGTTCCACTATTTGAAACCCTAATTTGAAGCTAAATGTATGTATATTTGCGAATTGGGGTTCTTTTGTTGCTTGATTCTGGTTTTGATTGCAACCAAATGTGTTGTTTGATTCTACCTTGTTGTTGGTTTAGCTGCTCTGAATTTGGGCTGCACACCGGGAAGAACCTTGAGGAGCCAACGGAATTGTAATCTGAGCTGTTACCTTTATCTGGGACCTCGAGAAGCCGACTGCATTGCTCGACGAAATGTCACATAGAACTCGCATTGCAAGTCTAGTTATGCTGGCATGGATGTGACTCATTTGGGGTTTGCATCTGAGAATGGTTCTGTTGCTAGTTATAATCCATGCTTACCTAGTTTGTATTCGGTTTTCCCTCTGTTCAACGAATCCACCATAGATTCGAAGAGCAGTGGCATGATTTCGGGATCTTCCCGAAGTTGATTTCTAATGCCACGGAGCCTGTTTCTGATGCGGACTCTTCGAATAAGATGAACCAAACAGATGTAGCAAATTCTGCCTGCGATCTATCTTCGAGGCTGAGGCCTAATTCAACTCCTTGCTCGAGTGTTGGAAATGACCAGGCTTGGGAAACCGGGAAAAGCAATTCCACCTTGGGGAACAAGTTGAGTGATAAAAGTTTATCTTCCTTTCTTTGGAGCAACGGAGATGAGCCCTTGATCAAGAATTCAAACGAACGGAGCTTCAAAGGTGAATGCATGAACGTAGACGCAATATCAAGAAAGCGAAAGACATATGGTCCGACGGCTGATCAGCAATTTCATTTTCTATCGATGCTTCCGTGCAGTCATTTAACCGGAAGAATGAAAAGTGCAGGATGCTAGAATTCCCCTTAAATACCCTTAACATGGCTGCACCTTAGAGACGATACATGTTGGCTATTGCTGCTTGTAAAACTGTGTGAGTGTGTGTGTATATACAACCCTATGGTAAGCTATTCCCTGTACGAGGGAGAATTCTAATGAGTATTCAATCAACTTAATACAAAGAATCTCCTCAAAGGACAATTATCTTTCACCAGTGGACAACTTGTCTGATTGGTTGGATTTCTGATTAGATCAAGCTAGAGATGTTATAAAATGAAAACAAAATTTTGACTAACCAGAGACCCCTATAAAAAGTGTCCCATATTTAACTGTTAAGCGAGGTTTTACAGTTATATAATTTTAATTAATTTAATATTTAAGTTAAATTAATATTTAATTTTATCAAGTATATTAATGATAAAGTTGTTTTTAATTCTACAGACGAATTAAAAAATTGTCGTATATCTCGTTTATTTGTTTAAATGTTCTTTATTTTGGTTGTGAAGTTAAAAAATTGACCACCAATATACTCAATAATTATGAAATTTTAAATTTCTTTTTATATTTATTATATAATTGCTTTACCCTACGTGGTGTAAGGCGCGCCCCAGGGGCGCGCTTTAGCCAGCGTGTATCCATGTCAGTGTAAGACGCGCTTCAGGGGCACGCCTTACCCCATGTGGCGCTAAATCAGCGTAAAGCGTGGCCCCGGGGCACGCCTTATTACAAAGGGTGTTAGATCAAAAAATATAGTCTGAACGGTATCTGACAGAGAAATAAACATTTAAAGGGTGATTTATCGGGAAAATCACCTAGACATATAGTAATATTCCTTATATGTTTCACCTTGAATCACACTTTTTTATTAAAAAAATATTTATTATAGACGTTATGTTGTGAATTAAAAATATATTATTTAAGTTATATTTATACTTACACGTGAATCATATCAATTTAAATTATAATAAATTCAAAATAAATTATTATACATAAATTATATCAATTTAAACTATCAAAATATATATTGAATTTTCTAAATATTCAAAGTCTCGTATGTCAGGAAGAGTAAAGGGAGGCAAGGGACTGAGTAAGGGCGAAGCAAAGCGCCACCGTAAAGTCCTCTGCGATAACATTCAGGGAATCACAGAACCGGCAGTTCGACATCTTGCTCGTAAGGGAGGAGTCAAGGTATCAGCGGCCTTATCTACGAGGAAATTCGGGGAGTCCTTAAGATTTTCTTGGAGAACATGATTCGTGATGTCGTGACCTATACCGAACATGCCAGGAGAAAGACTGCGATTGCCATGGATGTTGTTTACGCACTGAAGAAGCAGGGGAGGACTTTGTACGGATTTGGTCGATGGATGGTTTTAGATTTTAGGGTTGTAAAAGTCGGTGTTAGTGGGAATTTCAAGTCTTGCGGTCAAGAATGTTTGAGTTTAGCTTTAGAATTAGGGCATGTGATTAATGATTTTCATGGGAGGATTATCATAAATTATAAATTGGATCTTATTGATGTAATCCTTGTCCTCGACGATCGCATATTTTAATGAATTTGAAGTTTAATAAATAAAAACTATAACAAAATAAAAATATATTTTATATAACTTAATATTAATATTTTAATATATATATATATATATATATAAATCATAATTTTTTTAATTTAAATAATTAAAATAAATTATTAAAAATAATAAATTATTTTTTTAAAGGATGCTACATATATATATCCCGAATAGCTTCTTGAATTGCTTGTTGATTTGCGCTGGAAAGGAGGAGAGGTAAACCCCGCAGTGATAAGATGATATCAATTGTCGGCGTAAATCGGTGAAGCAAAATTGATGGATTTTTGTACCATATGCTCATGGTATTGAAGAAAAGTGCCTTCCAACAAATTCCCATTCTTGACTTGTTTGGAATTAATTATAAGGTAAATTCACGTTCAGCATATAAATTATCAATTTTAGTTTATTTTAATACTAAACTTTTAATTATTTAAAATTATACTTAATGTTTAATATTTAATTTCATTTTAATATTTTACCGTTAAAAATTTAATGCGTTTAATACTTAAACCATCATTTTTTTCCAAAATTTAATGTTAAGTTTTTAATTGGACACTAAAATGAAACACAGACTAAACATTAGACATAGTTTTAAAAATTTTTAAAATTTAAATATTAAAACGGACTAAAAGTAATAATTTAGTTACTAAACTCTTAATTCATCCTTAATTTATGGTTTTTATAATTTGCCTGTTATAAGGTGTCGTCTTCAAAGCCAACCGAAAAGTGTTGAAGAAGGTTTAATTCTGCCTCCAGCTCTTGTACTCTTTAGACTTTCAAAATTTAGTATATCTTATCTACTTCCATTTCCAGAAATTTAGCTATCGACTTTGAAATGGAACACTGTTGTAAAGAATATTAGATCAAAATATTAGAGATTGATGAACAAATGTTTTATTTATAATTGTTAATGATTATGAATTATGATGCATTGACGGTGCCGTTGCCGTTGCCGACCGTGTGCGTGTAATATATATAACCCAATGGGATGGGTTACATGTTTCAATCTAACGTGGGACTGGTTTTCCCTGTCTGTAAAGGTATGCCGCCGCCGTGACTGGCTCTCTCTTTGCCGGCAGCCTGTTGTCCCTTCGCTGTTCACGCGGCATGACTTTTGCCTCATTATTAATTCCATTACTTTAAGATATTATACTTCAATCATCCAATTACAACTCTCCCTCTTATTACGGGGAAGATTAGAAAATGGGAATGAGTTGGATACATTCAGATTTTTAATTCATTTAAATTAGATCAAAATTAAAATAATTTATTACGCATTCAACTCCACAAAAATTTTTTAAATATTTCAAATTAAAATTTTCATCTAATCCCATTTATATATATACACACATATATATAAACTCAATTTTATTATTAAGTGAAATAAAGATTTATTTAAAAAATATTCAATCGAAGTTATACACATAATATTAAAATATTTATAGATCAATTTTTTTTATCATAAAACCAAACTTGATCCCACTTATAAAAATTCATCCGACCCAAAATCAAAATTTTAAATAAAAATAATTCATTGAATATGATGGAAATTTATTGAATCAGAGAGAAATGATCATCTCACTGAAAGATATTTAACCTCCAATCAAATTATACAAATAAAATTTATACATAATGAAATTAATGGCAGTAGTTAAATTAACACTCGATCGATAAATATATAATAATTTAAAATAGAAAAAATAACTCGACTTTTGTCCGGTCTCTTTCCTCTGAAAAAAAGCACGAAAATATAATTTAAATGAAGATTATATGTTTTATTTAATAAAAGAATCAATGAATTCGGCTATACAAACAGAGAATGAATTTACTCAAATAAAAAACCCGGAATCAATTGAAGTAAAAAAGAATCATTCATAGGTAAAATCATTTCGTGTTTAATTTTATTAAATCCTGGTGAAATTAATGTTGTGCAAAAGAATCAATCATGAAACGTGGTTTCTTTGTCGGCAATGGACTCTCAACCTCTTGCTCTGTATATCTTCCTTCTCTGTTTTCCACGCCCAACTCCGGCAAAGCGGGCAAGTTCAGGTCAAACACGAATTCGACGCGATGGGTTTGACTCAACGCGCCACCTTCCGACACCGTCACCCCGCTGAGACTGACGCTACCACTCTTGTTACTGTTGTTGTTTCCGCCTTCATAGTGGCGGCGTTTGTGGCCTCCCAAGGCTTGGCCTGTAGGGAAAGCCTTATGGCAGATAGAACACGTGTGTGCTCTACCGTTAACTCCGATGTCGCCGCCGTTGGTGGTGGTGGTGGGGATAGAATTGGGTCGATTATTAGCAGCTCCGTCGGTGGAAGGTTTGCTGTGGCTGGCTTTATGACCACCCAGAGCCTGGTAAGAAGGGAAAGCCTTGTCGCAAACACTGCACTTGTGAGACGATTTCAAACCCGAGGGAGCAACTCTCGCTTCCGAAGAAGAGATGCAGCCGTCGGAGGCGGTGTTTCCACGAGCTAGCATGATGAGACAGAGAGCGAGATATTCCTCCTCAGACGTCAGAGGCAGTTGAGAAGACTCGTTATCGCGTTGTCGCTTCGAGCGCTTGGCTTTCTTCCACGACTCGATGTGATTGCTGTTGCCGTCGTCGTGAATAACTTCTTCAAACTTGTTGGCCGGGAAAGGGGCGGCTGCCACGGGAGGAGAACTCAGAGCTTCAAGAGCCATAATATTCAAGAAATAACAAAGAAAATGAGATAATTAAATCGGGGGAGTGAAAGGGGGTTTATATAAGAATTTGCAGTGAAGTCGGTCAACTACGAGGAAGAAACATGTGTGTGGAGACTGAGCCTTCTTTCCACACCAGATTGTGTATGACTTGTTCCACGTCAAAACTTCTTCTTATCACTTTACTACTGCTATTTTACCCACTTTTATATTCTTAATTACAATAAATTTATTTCACCGTTAATTAACATTTAATCCCTGGATTTGATTGTTTTAATCAATCAAACTATGATATGTATTATTTAGTGATGTGAACATTTTGACAAATCATATCGTGTTAACAATTTAACTTATTGCTAAAATATGGAATTAACATCTGTATCGATTTTAAAATTTATTTTCAAATTGAATATGAAAAATTTTAAATATCAAACTAATCAAGATGCAATGTTTACATACTAACGTGTATATTAAACCTTGTTTTCTTGGCTGTTCAACTCGTGTTCGGTTAGTGGTTGCTTGTGTTCTAGGAAGGCAGCTAATTACCTTAGAATCATCCATTGTTTGGGCACGTGTTCAACTCTATTTTCTTTTTATTAGACGTAACTAAAATTATTAATTTTTTCAACATTTTCAATTCAATTGAAAATACTATATTCTTTATAATATTTTAATTTAATTATATTTTCATGATATTTTTAATTATATATATTTTTATCGATCCTTATTCTTAAAAGTCGCCCATCTCCCTTGCTTTTTCTACAACTAATGGTCGGAGTGGAGCCAAGTAGAGTGAAGTAATAGAAGTGTATTCTGATGTGTAAAAATCGTAGCTTGACAAAAGAGGAACCGTCAAGGCATACGGCACGTCACCCGCGATTAGATCAACATTACTCACACGTGGCGCTCTGCAATTCCCTTTTGAAGGACTTTAACAGGTAATGACATAACCGACAAGTAAGCTTTGATATTATCCACATCAAAAGCGTTCTGTTTGTTGGGAGTCTCCCCCAGCACGCCACGTAGATTTTACTACGTGTCGGGTTTATATTTGGACACGTATGAGAATCCTAGTGACAGTAAGGCGTGTTAATATAGAATACATATTTCGTAGGATGAGTGTTTGGCTGTGACGACTAGATACGTTGCTGGTAAGGTGATCTTATCAATGACCTATAACTCAGCTAGGCTTAGTACTTACTTCGTAGTGTGAAAGTCTCATTTCATGACCGCTTAAAAATATAATATAAAAACAGAAGCATTTGTGAATCGGGTTTGTTTAATTACGGCTAATCGGTTATGTCTCTATCTTTCATCTTTATCTATATAGTTAATCAAATTTCAATTCACTTATGAGAAGACTGTAAAAAAAAAATCATGTTTTTACATTTTAATAAAATTAAATATAAGATAAATTCTTGAGTTAAAAATGTGAGGCCTAAAATATATGAAGATTAGTGGCATAATTTCATTATTTTTATTTGACTTGCAAATAAAAGGATAAAAAAGTCTTGATTGTCTAAAATTAAATCAATATTTTTACGAACTTTAAATGAACATGTTCATAAACGTTAATCAAACATTGTTACGACTGCTAAATGAAAAAATATGAACACTTTCAAAAATAAAATAAACAAACATAAATATTATACTAAAAATTTAAACTAACATGAATCAAATATATAAACATTTAAAAACAAAAAAACACAAACATAAATTTCCTTGTTCAAACTTAGGGACCGTTAGTTTTTATTGAAATTGAATTATGGAAAATGAATTATATTTTTTAGAAAAACAATTTCATAAAATTATTTTTTGGTGTTGGAATAATGTTATGTAAATCATTTTTCGTTGTTAGAGAAATTTTTGAAAACAATTTTGAAAAACTTCATTTATTAAATAAATTATTAATACTTATTTACCATGATAAAAGTTAATTGCCCAAATATATTTTATCAACATTTACTTATACTAACGTAAATTAGTTCAACAAACACTTTTATAAATATTTGTATTTACTTATATAAATATTTTTATCAATTCCTGAAATTTCTCTAATTGCCTAGCGATTCAGTAGTTGTTGTAAAATTGACTCGACAATTAGTCTAGTATCGGCTCATAGCAACAACTACATCATTAACAATATCACAACATTAGTATAACAGTTTACAGTAAAAGCAGTAAAATTAACCTAAGTTCCAATAATTCACTCTCAATACGTAAATAATGTAAAATATGTAACATAAATCTAAATATGTACAAGCTTAATTTAAGAAAAAAATTCCTATATAATAACTTTTTCGGAGAGTGATCAAAATATAATCCCAAAACGTTGAAAAACACCAACATGCATCACGTTCCAATCCTAAATAATCGACACATCTTATCACATTAAACTTGAAATCCGATTCCTTTCCCTCTTGCTTAATGTAACAACCCGATTTTCAAAATAATATTTAATTGAAATTGGAGGGTTTAATTGTGAAAATTTAGCGAAAATTTGGGACTGAATTGAAAGATTTTAAAACTTGGAGCTTGTTTTAAAGTTAAAGAAAATTCAAGGACCAAGCCCTAAATTTAACCTTGGAGTGTCGGCAGGCAATTGTTATATGCGTGATTTCTGTTTTGAAAAACAGAAATCAATTTCATAAATCCTTCCTCACGCACACAACTTCCAAACTCGATTCCGACGCCGTCCGAATTCCGATCGTTGTTTTGAAACCACTGTTGTGTTCATCATCGAGCGAGGAGCAAACCCTTCAAATTAATTGAAGCGAAACGCGGCCAAACATCGGGAATTTCCAGTCAAAGTAGCGACGGTTTTGTTAGCTCTATCGCCGAGAAAATCTTAAATTCACCGCTGATCGTTGCTCCGTTTACGACACCTCCCGCACCATCGTGTTCCTTGTGTCGTTCCGAGTTCACCGGTGTCAACCTTGTCCGCCGTAGACGGCGGCGCGTGAGGAGGTGGTGCAGTCAAAGATACGGCCGATTTGAAATCAAGCTCTCCGCCGTTCAAAAATTTGAACCGATCGTTGTAAGTATCTCGAAATCGCTCAAAATAATTTTTAGAAATTTTTCCGGGATTTTTAGGGCCCCGGAGGACGCCTCACGCGCCACACGCGCCGCCGCAGGGCGAGTGGCTGCTGGAAACCGGTTTAACCGGTTTTCAACCAGTTCTGACCGGTTTGACCGGTTTCAACCGGTTCGAACTGGTTTGACCGGTCCGACCCGACCCGACCGTTGACCCGACCCGACCGTTGACCCGACCCGACCGGACCGTTGACCGTTGACTTTCTTTGACCAAAACTTAAAATGGCTTTGACCGAGCATTAAACGACCGTTAATATTTTCCGAGTATACCTATCCTGATAGTTTTCGACGTGCCATCCGTTTCATCAAATTCGAACCCGAAGGACTCCAAATCGACGGTCAAAGTAGTTGACTTTGACTTTGACCAAGAATCTGAATTTTCGAAAAGTCATACTTTATGTTTTTCGACGTCCTGATTCCGATTCCGCAATTCGTTTGGCCAAATTCAGACTCGAAATACCCCAAATTGATAGTCAAACCCGAAAAATGCTTATATACTTAAGAAGTCTAGTTTTGAACAATTAAATAGGATTTGGGACTGATAGATTATTGTTGTTTGAAGGTACAAGAGACTCTCCGGATCGTTCGACAACTCAACCCAGCTCTTCTAGATCAGTTAAACCACGTGTGCCATTATTCACGCGTTCGAAAACGGTAGCAGAGCGTGGTGAAACCAGCAATCAGTAGATTTTCTATTTTAACCTATTGTCGAGGTGTGTTCCCTACTTATTACTGAATTGTTTTATTGGTTTTAATATATGGTACACCGAATTCATTGGTTATTGTTTTATGGATGCACCAATTTAATATGACAATTTATGGAATATGGCTGCTATCTAATTTTTGTTTTGAAATGGTATATAATTACCATGTTTTTGGATTTATGGAATTTATGTCACGGTGCAATTGAATTTTGGAATTGAATTACGATGGAATAGCTCTGATCAAGCTAAATGGGCCTAATGTGACTCTTGAGGGCCCCAAGATGTTTCATTAGGTCGGCTTTCCTTTGCTGTGTGCTTTGGTAAGCTATATGGACTTATTGACTTGGGCTTAAGGATACAAGCTTCAGAGCCTATCCTTAAGTCGGCTTTCTTTTTGCTATGTGCATAAAGTAAGCTATATGGAAAATAATTTTGAGAACTACTGATGGTGTACCAGAAAAGGGTTTAAACTATGATTTTCAAAAGTTAAACTCTTTTACGAATTTGTGAGATTACTGGACTATGATTTGTACCTATTGACATTTTATGGAAATGTTGGGACACAGTGAGCCTAGCTCACCTTTTGAAAATGTTTTCCCCCTTTCAGATATTGTTGGTTAGATACCTCGGTTCGAGCACTTGGAGGATCAACATATCTCTTGAAGTAAATCAGATTGTAATGTTTTTATCTTGCAAGTGGACTTTATTTTGGTGACATGGACCTTATTTTAAATATCGGATTTTATAATGATGACTCTTTTGCTAGTACTGCTCGGTTTATTGTGATTTTGAATTTGAAGACATGTTTTAAATTAAATTATTATTTATTGGTACTATATTTACGAGTTGGATTTTGATAGTATAATTTGTTTATAATTTCATGTTATTTATAATGTGATTTTATATTGATAGAATAACGATTTCGGAAAATGTCTTTAATAATCATAATGTGATCCACTAGACTTAGTCGAAACGCATAGGCCGGGTCTAGGGTGTTACATTTATTGGTATCAGAGCTTTTGGTTTTTAACCCTCGGACTGTGTATGAGTCCACATTGAAATACGGTTTTGAAATATTTTACAAAACGAGTTACTAAGGCCATGTTACAAAGTTATTAAGATTTTAACTATGTTTGAGACTCCAAGTGCTTATCTAACCCTAAGTTTTATCTTCTGTAGTAAACTTGAGATCCATCAAAATGAGTGCTAGACGTGGTC